GAAGAGAGTCCGACTCCGTGTCGGTTAGAGCAGGAAGAGAGGAAGCAGGAGGAGAAGGCAAAGGGGCACGCAGAGGAGCAGTGGACGGACGCAGTGACATCCGGTGCGTGCCAGGGACAGGAGGAGGACGCTGACGCGACCCGCGACCACTAGCGCGCGCAGTACGAACAGGCGACGCAGGACGAGACGCACGCTCACGACGCTCAGTAAGACCTCCATTCGGACCAGCGTAGGGAGAAGGAGCAGGCAAAGAGGAGGCAGGCTGTAGCGGTGGCTGTGACTGAACAGGCGGCGGACCCTCTAAGGGAGGAGGAGGGGGACCAGGAGAAGGTGTAAGACCAAGAACCTGCTGCAGGAGCGGAACGAAGTACGGTCGGGGTCGCGCGGCGACGCCAGAAACAGCAGGGACAGCACTAGTACCCCCAGCAGAAGTACCCGCTCCAGCAGCACCTCCAGCAGCAACTCCAGTAGCTCCAGAACCTCCAGCAGCACCACCAGGAGCACTGCCAGGCGGACCGCCAGCGGCAGTCCTAGTGTCAACACCCTCAGCAGCACCAGCTCCAGGAGAACCCTTAGACCCAGCAGCTCCAGTACTCCCAAGACGAGCACCTCCGAGACCCGCGGCAGTGGCACCCTCTGCAGGCGAAGAAACTCCAGCACCAGCAGCACGCCTCCAGCGCCTAGCAAACCACTCACGCAGCTCCTGTGGGGAGAGTGGCTCACGGCGAGACGAAGCACCTCCAGGCACAGCACCCCCAGGCACAGCACCCCCAAGCCCAGCACCCCCAGGCTCAGCACCCCCAGGCTCAGCACCCCCAGGCTCAGCACCCCCAGGCTCACCACCCCCAGACTCCGCACCCCCAGACTCCGCACCCCCAGGCTCAGCACCCCCAGGCTCAGCACCCCCAGGCTCAGCACCCCCAGACTCCGCACCCCCAGGCTCAGCACCCCCAGGCTCAGCACCCCCAGGCTCAGCACCCGCAGCAGCACCAGAGTCACCAGTGACCTCGACACGCTCGACTGCGTCTACCTGGGACAAACCTGAAGGGGCAGGACCCTGAGGGGGGAGGGGGTCTACCGGGGGGGGACCTGGTACCAAGAAGAGCGGGGGCGGGGGGAGGGAAGGAGTGCGGTAGGGGAAGAGGCGGTAGTAGGGTACCGACTCGTCGAACGTGACGTCGTGGGAGGACAGAACACGGCGAGAGGTGGGGTGGTAGAACTGCCACCCAGGGGCGTCGGGGGGGAACCCCAGGAAGACGCAAGGAGAAGCGCGAGGGGACAGCTTGTCCGCAGACAGGTCGCGGACAAACGCCCGAGATCCCCAGACCCGGAACGCCGACGCATCGCCAACCTTCCCCGTCCACAGCAGGGCTGGGGAGGTCTCCGGCCTAGAGACCCTGGGGTGGAGGTTGATCTGATGCGCTGCGTACCTGACCGCAAACGGCCACAGAAAATGGGGGGCAGCCGCATGCATCATGGACGTACGGGCGACGTCCATGACCATGCCAATGCGGCGCTCAGCAATCCCATTTTGCTGCGGAGAGTCCGGAAGCGTGAAGGACTGGCGGATGCCTCGCACACGACAGTAGGTACGTAGAAGGGCAGAGGAGAACTCTCCGCCTCTGTCCGAGTGCAGACGCAACACAGGAAAGTCGGAGCCAAAGCTCTGCCTGAGCTGAAGACGAGCAGTGCGGATCCAGTCGATCAGCACCTAAGTGACCTCACCCTTGCTGCGCAAGGGGAAGACTGTGGTGTAACGCGAGTAGTCGTCAACAACGAGCAGGAAGTAGCGCTCCTGACCCTGTCCAAGGACGCGGGCTGGGCCCCACACGTCCATGTGAAGCGTCTGCAACGGGGCCGCTGTCGGAGGAAACTGGGAGGAGTGAGGGGCAGCACGCTGGCGCCCCTCGACACAGGGGACACAGGCAGGGCCAGGGCCCTGAGGAAGGGGAGGGAGGGACCGGGGGAGACCAGACACAAGAAGACGGGAGGCCATGCCTCTGAGCCGAAGCAGAGAGGGGTGGCCAAGGCGGTGGTGCCAGAGGAGGGTCTCGTGAGACAGACGACGACACGAACAGGGGGCAGACTCAGGGCCAGACCTGGACGCTGCAGCAAACACCTGACCAGACGAAGGGACCCTACGAGACTCAGTACCTGGAGGAGAAGCAGTGGTCAGTGTGTACAGGCTCGACCCCGGCCGACGTGTAAACGTAGCCAGGTGGCGACCTGTGCTAGCCTCCGTGCAGTGTGTCACCCGCTGACGAGCAGGAGTGAACTGGTGGACACCTACATCCTGTAGGTCAGCACCACTCACCAGGTTCGTCGAGAACGAGGGGAGGTAGAGACCAGACAGGGTGCCAGAGGGGGCCGCCGGACACGGAAGGACCGTGGAGAAGCGAGACAGGACAGGCCCCCCAGAGGGGTCAGCCAGGGACATCGCAACCGGCCGACTCAGCGGCGTGAGAGTGGTGCGGTCCCGAAAGAAGGAGCGAGACGCTCCAGAGTCAAGGGTGAAGGTGTGAGAGGCCGAAGCCGACACAGTACCTGAGAGGGCAGGCTCACCAGTACCTGAGAGCACAGACGCACTGGCACCTAGAGCAGCAGCCTCACGAGTACCTGACGCAGCAGTACCAATGCCCGGGTCGGGCGGGAAACACCGGTAACAGTCATCCTCATCACTACCAGTCACAACATACATAGCAGAAAGAATAGCATCAAAGTCAAGATCATAAATAGCTACACCAGCCCTAGACAGGTCCCCCCAGCGGGGGATCTCAGCGGCCTCCGGAAACTGCTGACGCCAGGCGTCGGTCAGGCGGCCAAAGCAGCGGCGGGCTGTGTGGGTGCCTCCACACCTCTCCCCCGCACGGTCGCCAGTGCGAAGAACGTAGGGGCAGGGACCAAACGCACCACCACGCTGACGCTGCAAGTACCACTCACGGAGCTGCTGAGGGGCGGGGATGGTGCGAGAGCGCTGCTGCTGCTGTGGCTGCTGCTGCTGCTGCTGCTGCTGCTGCTGGCGCTGACCACCCCCAGAGCTGCTCCGCTGAGACGAGCCATTCCGACCCCCGCCGCCACCGCCACCCCCGCCTCCACCGCCACCCCCGTCTCCACCGCCACCACCCCCACCGGCACCCTCACCCCCGCCTCCTCCGCCACCTCCTCCGCCGCCACCTCCGCCTCCACCGCCTCCACTAGTACCTCCACTCCCGCCACCACCTCCACCGCCACCCCCACTCCCCCCGCCACCCCCACCTCCCCCGCCGCCGCCCCCTCTAGCTCCACCCGCTCCCTTGCCCCCTTTGCCCTTGCCATTGCGGCGTCTACCGCTGGGGGCAGACGCCGCACCGACCGACTCAAAACCAGCGAGGTCGGCCGCAGCGGCAGAGGCGACAGAGGGCAGCCGGGGGGAAGGAGAACACCCCTCAAAAATGGGGGTGCGAGGGTCACCCCGAGAGGCCCCTACAGCGACGATGCTCTTCTCAGCCGCTAGCAGGGACTCCTCAATGAGGTCGACAGTGAGGGTGGTGGGACAGACAGAGAGAAACTGGTCCCTAACTACACGAAGGGACTCAGGGAGACGAGTGACGAGAAAGTAGAGAGTGATGTACATGGGAGGAGGGTTTGCGGCGCGGAACTCAGCAGGAAGGGCAGCGCGGTAGCGAGCGTCACTAGCGCGGAGGTGGGTGACGAGGTCAGCAACAGTGGGAAAGGCAGCAAGGTCAGGGAAGAGAAACGGTAGCATGAGGCGGCTAAGCGTAGCGGAGGAAGGGGAGGAGTAGCGTGCAACTACAGCGTCGTACAAGGCCTGAGCGGTCTTGCACTGACTGAAGTGGGCACGCTCGGAGGAAGGGAGGTGGCGACGCACAGCAAGACGTGCAGCAGCATCGCGGGTCGCCCACTTGGAGCGAACGGCGGGGTCAGCATCAGCAGGAGGGGCAGGGACAGCTCCAGAGACAAAGTCAAAGAGAGAGACCTCATCTATCTCATCACACAGTAAGTACAGCTGCAGGTCTTCAATCCAGACTGCAAAGTCAACGGCTCTACCCTCAGCGTCAAAAGCGAGGACAGTGGGGGTGGCCATGACAGCAGCTGACAGTCTCACCGGGTAGGAAAAGTCGGGTAGGTCAGCGGCACTGTAACACAGCCCAGGAGCAGCAGTGGCCCCACAGGAGCAGGAGTGCGGCTCCACTGGCGGCTCGGGCGGCTCGGGCGGCTCGGGCGGCTTGGGCGGCTCGGGCGGCTTGGGCGGCTCGCGCGGCTCGGGTGACGCAAGGGCTCACGGGCGGCGCGGGCGGCTGCAGGGGCGGCGCACGGGCGGCTGCACGGTGGCGCGGCGGGCTGCAGCACGGGCGGCGGGGCCGACGGTGGGCCGTAGCGGGGCTGTAGCGGGGCCGGCGGCGGCCTGTAGCGGGGCTGTAGCGAGGCTGTAGCGGGGCCGACGGCGGGCTGTAGCGGGGCCGGCGGCGGGCTGTAGTGGGGCCGACGGCGGGCTGTAGCGGGACCGGCGGCGGGCTGGGGCGGGGCCGACAGCGGGCTGTAGCGGGGCCGACGGCGGGCTGTAGCGGGGCCGACGGCGGGCTATAGAGGGGGCCGACGGCGGGCTGGAGCGGGGCCTACGGCGGGCCGACGGGGTCTAGGCGGGGCCAACGAGGGGCCGTAGCGGGGCCTAGGCGGGCCGACGGGGCCTAAGCGGGGCCGACGCGGGGCCGTAGCGGGGCCTAAGCGGGGCCGACGAGGCCTAAGCTGGGCCGACAGGGCCTAAGTGGGGCCGACGAGGCCTAAGCGGGGCCGACTAGGGGCCTAAGCGGGGCCGACGAGGGGCCTAAGCGGGGCCGACGAGGGGCCTAAGCGGGGCCGACGAGGGGCCTAAGCGAGAGCACGGCGGTAAGGGCAACACGGAGGGTCGCTAAAAAAAAAAACGCGCGCCTCGGGGCGCGCTTCGGTGGGCCCTAGGAACAGTCCCTAGGAAGGGACCTGCTCTGATTCCATGAGAAAATATGAACGAGAATGAAATGACTATGAACGAAGTGGGTACAAATAGGAAACCCTAATCTGGGTTGTACCCCCTATGGGATACCCCACTATAGCCTACAGAAACAAGTAAGCTATATGTTCTGACAAGGAGGAGGAGGAGGAGGAGGAGGAGGAGGAGGAGGAGGAGGAGGAGGAGGAGGAGGAGGAGGGGGATGAGGAGGAGGAGCAGGGTGACGAGGAGGAGGAGGAGGAGGAGGAGGAGGAGGAGGAGGAGGAGGAGGAGGAGGAGGAGGAGGAGGAGGAGGAGGAGGAGGAGGCATCAGAGAAGGAGGAGGAGGAGGAGGAGGAGGAGGAGGAGGAGGAGGAGGAGGAGGATGTGGCGCCAGGGAAGAGACGGGGCGGGCGTGGCGGTCGGGTGAGTGGGACAGGGAAGGAGGGGGGCCGGACTCGCCCTTCCCGAAAACGCGGGGCAGGTGACGCTGCGCGCGGCGAAGCAGCGGGCAAACCGAAGGCGCGTAAGGTGAAGGTCGAAAGTGAAGGGGTTGGTAAAAAGCAAGGGAGCCAGGGTGCAAAAGGGGATGGAGGAGGAAAGGGTGGCCGCGCCAAAGGGGTTCGAGTGGGTACCGGCAAGAAGGAACCTGCCGGTAAACGTCGCAGCGTGCGCCGAAGCACCCCGCGGAAAGGTGGCAACGAGAAGGCGCAGGCTGCCCCAAAACCGAAGGGACAACAGAAAGGTGAGCATTGTGTCCAATACAACTGGCGTGACGTGTTAAACAATCTGCTAAACCGTCCCAAATAACACCCTTTATTCACATTGTTTCTCTCCTGCAGGGAAGGAGAAGGTTGACGAATCTGCCAAGCAAGGTAAACCCTCTTGTCTCAAACCAGTACAACCCTAAACCCGATCTAGATTCAAACCTTTCTGAATATGCATGCATGTCTGGCCCCGCCTTGAAACCGATCGACTCCAATTTTTATTTTCCCACTCCCTCTACATCTCAGCCCCTCGCGTTACAGGCATTGGGCCGCCCTTAAGCGTGCAACGAATGCATCTAACGAAGGCTGCCGGAATAGCGAGTGTTACACCGCTCTCGTCCGGCGCACCAAGGTTCTACACGCCATGGGCCGGCCCCAGCAAAGTCGCTGCGACGGCACCCGGCGCGCCAAGAGGAGGGGAATCCGAATCCCCTCCACCCGTCCCCGTCACGCACTCCTCACTCGCCTCACCCTCGTACCCATTTCGGCAACTCCACGCTTCTCCTGTCCGGGGCAGGGCGGTCTCCCCCATCGCCGGTCCTTCGCGCGGGCATCAGGCAGGCACTTATGCCAATCCCTTCCCTGAGCTCCCCTTTTCCCGCCAGCGTGATAGTGTGAGGGCACACGGGACTGCTGCAGAAGACGTTGATACCCTTGGCCAGAGGGGGGATTCTTCACACCCTTTTCCTCCGCTCATAGGTGAAAGTGACGAGCACGAGCAGTTTGTTACACGGGAGGAGTTCCAGGCGCTGCGGTCTGAGATGTACGCCATGTTTGCACAGCTCGGCCTGCGTCGTGGAGTACCTGCCAGCTATGCCGGCGGGTCGGCAGCCCTGCCTATGGCTGGTACCCCGCCGCCGATGAGCGCCGTGGACAAGGCACGAGTGCTAGTGTTGCAGGAGACAAACCCATTCCCGGTATGTGGCGGGCCAAATGGGGCGGGTTGGGGTTGATGTGGCAACAAGGTCGGGGTTGGGGCTGACGTGGCGGGTTCGAAGGGAACACGGGAGCGGCGCGTGACGAGGCGACGCGTATCAGGTGGGTGGGGGGTGACGTGGCATGGGGTGGGTGGGTGTAACGTGGCAAGTGGGGCGGGTTGTTGGTGAACGTGGCGGATGCAAGTGCGTGTGACATGGCAAAAGGTGAGGGTTGGGATATGACGTGGCGGTGTGAAAGGGTGCAAGGGAGTGCCGCATGACGGAGCGAGGCGTTTCAGGTGGGTGGGGGGTGACGTGGCTCTTGGTGGGGGGTGTGACGTGGCTCTTGGTGGGGGGTGTGACGTGGCAAGTAGGGCGGGTTGTTGGCAGATGCAAAAGGGTGTGGCGTGGCAGAATGGGAGGGTTGGGGCTGTCGTGGTGGTTTGGAATGGTACACAGGAGCCACGCGTAACGAGGCGACGCGTGAGAGGTGGGTGGGGGGTGACGTGGCATGGGGTGGGAGGGTGTGACGTGGCACGTGGGGCTGGTTGTTGGTGGACGTGGCGGATGCAGGAGGGTGTGACGTGGCACGTGGGGCTGGTTGTTGGTGGACGTGGCGGATGCAGGAGGGTGTGACGTGGCGGAAGGTGAGGGTTGGGGAAGACGTGGCGGATGCAGGTGGGTGTGACGTGGGGGAAGGTGAGGGTTGGGGAAGACGTGGCGGATGCAGGTGGGTGTGACGTGGGGGAAGGTGAGGGTTGGGGATGATGTGGCACCCTACAAGGGTACACGTGAGCGGCGCATGACAAAGCGAGGCGTTTCAGGTGGGTGGGGGGTGACGTCGCTCTTGGTGGGGGTGTGACGTGGCAAGTAGGGCGGGTTGTTGGCGGATGCAAAAGGGTGTGACGTGGCAGCATGTGAGGGTTGGGGCTGACGTGGCGGTTTGGAATGGTACACAGGAGCGGCCACTGACAAGGCGACGCGTGTCAGGTGGGTGGGGGGGTGACGTGGCATGGGATGGGAGGGTGTGACGTGGCACGTGGGGCTGGTTGTTGGTGGACGTGGCGGATGCAGGAGGGTGTGATGTGGCACGTGGGGCTGGTTGTTGGTAGACGTGGCGGATGCAGGAGGGTGTGACGTGGCACGTGGGGCTGGTTGGTGGACGTGGCGGATGCAGGAGGGTGTGACGTGGCGGAAGGTGAGGGTTGGGGATGACGTGGCGGATGCAGGTGGGTGTGACGTGGGGGAAGGTGAGGGTTGGGGATGACGTGGCACCCTACAAGGGTACACGTGAGCGGCGCATGACGAAGCGAGGCGTTTCAGGTGGGTGGGGGGTGACGTCGCTCTTGGTGGGGGTGTGACGTGGCAAGTAGGGCGGGTTGTTGGCGGATGCAAAAGGGTGTGACGTGGCAGCATGTGAGGGTTGGGGCTGACGTGGCGGTTTGGAATGGTACACAGGAGCGGCCACTGACGAGGCGACGCGTGTCAGGTGGGTGGGGGGGTGACGTGGCATGGGATGGGAGGGTGTGACGTGGCACGTGGGGCTGGTTGTTGGTGGACGTGGCGGATGCAGGAGGGTGTGATGTGGCACGTGGGGCTGGTTGGTGGACGTGGCGGATGCAGGAGGGTCTGACGTGGCGGAAGGTGAGGGTTGGGGATGACGTGGCGGATGCAGGTGGGTGTGACGTGGCAGCATGTGAGGGTTGGGGATGACGTGGCGGTTAGAAAAGGTACACGTGACAACTGCGCATGACGAAGCGAGGCGTGTCAGGTGGGTGGGGGGTGACGTGGCTTGTGGTAGGGAGGTGTGACGTGGCAGAATGGGCCGGGTTGTTGGTGGACGTGTCGGATGGCGCAGGGTGTGACGTGGCAAGTTCACACAGTGTTGCTAGTCACAATCCCATGGTCACGCGGCCACCCACATAACTGCTGGTTTCTCTCTCCCATGTCGTGTTGTATACCTTACACCACTGCGCAGAACAAAGCCTACTTAGTGTGCTCTCAGCTCATGTTTCTGAACCCGCCGGAGAAAATACAGTACTACCCTGCACCGGAGGAAGTGTTCGAAGCGTTCTCTGTCCACTTGTCTGCAGAAGGGCTCGAGGCAATGAAGCTGCTGTGGTTGCACAATGACAAGTCAACCATGGGAGTCTTCAACCACCAGCTGTCCTCAACAAGGTCAACTATCAACTCCACCCTCAGGCCAGCAACATACACCGGCATGGGCCTTGCTGATTACAGTCATCTCGTGGATAGCCCGCCCACTGAGCTACACCCAACGACCTGGTTCGATGACGTTCAACTCCTAGCCGAGTACAGAGATGGTATGTGCAACTCGAAAACACAATATGCCCTACCATATGCCAGTTGGCAGCTACATATCACCGTGCGATGTGGCTCACCCTGACACTCATCCCCCCACTTGATTTCTCTACAAAACCCTTTCCAACCCATACCCTCCCTGCCAAAAAACAGAACAGTGGGCCCTCAACTGGCACTTTGACAAGGCCACCGGGACGCCCTTCAGCAACCCCTTGTTCGCTTATGCGTTCAAGATCTCCTTCAAGAGGGGCGGGGCGGTGTTCACCAAGTTCAAGAGCCGCATGGTGGCATGGGGCCTGTTTTCGGTAAGGATGTAGATATGTGTTTGTACCCCCATGCCTCATCCCCTTAACCCCTTGCCTGTACTTCAACCCTAATCCCTAGTCGATTAGGCCTTTGCAGTTACGTAGATAGTGACGACTGCATCACCGCTTTCAGTTGCCTCATTTACCCGTAACCTACCCTCCTCATAAACCACCCACCCAACCCTACTACACCACATTGCAGATCGAATGGCCCCTTCTGCAGGATAAGCGTCGCAAGCGAATCAGTAGCCAGCCAGAGCAGAACAGGCCAGACTACCAGGAGTGGTGCGAAAAGGTCAAACAGATGATCCATTTTGCTGTCGTGGAGCGGAGGATCCCCCACGATCCGGCTATGGGTGCGTTCGTCTTTCCGAACAAGTTCCTCATCGACGACGGCGACCTTGGAGATGTCGTCCTTGCCCACCGGGCGCTTTCAAGGCCCGCCAATGCGTAGGCTATTTGACCTGGTGCTAAGACTGATTGTTGCTAGCATGCTGAATAATGGTTCTTGTAAACCGCAATAATAAATGCAATTTTGAAATCCCCAAAATCCAAAATGAACAAAAACAGAATTTAGTATTGAATAAATTGGTCACGAATTTGCAACAAAACGGATTGCGTCGGAATGTCATCCGGAAAAGCTCGCGTGCCAAATTGGAACTTGAACCGAGCCAAGCCTTGTCGCGAGATGTGTCTCGGAGCTCCTATCAAATGACTCCAACCGTCGGTCCAAATTGGCTACGGATTTTTTTACGCGAAGACAATCGAAATCAAAATTCGACCAAACTTGGCATAGGGTTTTTGTGATGTCTGCTGATTACACCCCACTTTGGCTATGGGGGTGTGTCAGAATATTATCTTATGTTCTAGCCTGTAGTGGGGTGCTCTATAGCGAGTACAACCCTTCTAGGGTTTGCTATTTGTATCCCCATTTCTGCTAGTTCAATCCTCTTTTCTTCCTTCAAACTTTGACAGAATGTGTTTCTGTACGCGTTAGTAGATGTAGTGATCTATATGGAGCAGCTGCACACATACGTCGAAGGGGATTCACGAGTCTGCCAGTTGTGAAAATCCCTTTACGGAATCAAACAAGCACCAAGGCTCTGGCAGCAGTACCTGCACAACATACTGCTTGAAATCGGGTTCAAGCAGCTGCCTCACAATCCAGGGATGTATCGCCGCAATGTTCGCAACGAATATATCCTACTCACGGTCTACGTCGACAACCTCCTCTACACAGGGTCAAGCAACGAGTTGCTCGAGCAGTTCGAGAAAAACCTCGCAGGGTGTGTCGATATCACGTGCAACCATGACATGAAGTAGTTCCTCGGGCTCAAAATCTCCTACTCGTCGGAAGCCATTCATCTCTCAGCAGCCAAGTACGCAGAGGAACTTGGCAAGCGCTTCAACATCGCACCTGCACCACTCTCCACCCCTTACCGCACTCCAGGACCCAACCACAAACTGACAACAAAGCCCTGTCCCCTCCTGGGCTTCAGACTTACCAGCAGCAATTCCGATGCCTGATCTTTGCCTCTGTTACCTGCAGGCCAGACCTCTCGTACATCGCGAGTCAGCTTGCCCAGTACTCCCGCAAACCAACGGTTGAAAATCTCTCAGATCTTCAGCGAGCACTTCAATTCTTCGTTTCCACGCCCAATGTTGGGCTCTGCTATTCCACCATCCCAACCGCATCATTCAACCTCATCGGATACGTGGATGCTGACCATGCTGCTGATCCCGACAATCGACAGTCCAGAACGGGCTTTCTATTTCGCCTCGAACCCAGCGATCCCATCTACTGGAACTCGCAGAAGCAGGAGCTGGTTGCTCTGTCATCGGCAGAAGCAGAGTTCATTGCAGCAACGCCAGCCGTTCGCGAAGGTCTTTACCTTTACGAACTACTGCAGGAGGCAAAAATTCCAATTTCACGGAACTTCCGTCTGCACTGCGATAACCAGAGCGTGATCAGGATCGCGAACAAACCTGGCCGAACCAAACACATCACGCTGCAATACTTCTTCGTCAAGGATGAAGGTGACAAGGGCAAGGTTGACCTAACCTACTGCCCGACGGGTGACATGGCAGCAGATTTCCTCACAAAGAAACTGCCGCGTCAGCAGTATCAGCACTGCTCCGAACTCAGCGGATTAGTCAAGCGGGTCAAGACCTTCTACGGCCAGGGGTGAAGGGGGTTGGTACGAATATTAATTATTGAAGCATCACTGTGCACTCCTTACCGCAGCAATCAAAACACGCACTACCGAGAATGAAGACGAAGGGACGGAAGTGACGCGAAGGGTCATACGGTTACAGAGGCATCTGGACTGTTGGGCAGAAAGCATCAGGCAGCAACAGTGGCGAGGATTCTGCCTAGGTAGTTTGTAACCGTCTGGAGTCGCACGGTTGGGTCTCGCTGTAATAAGGGAATGTACCCCTTAGAGTACATGGTTAGATAGGACGCTTGGTATTCCCCTGTACTCTTATTTATATTCCTTGAACTTGCATGTTTTATTCATCTCAAACATTTTACATTCACTCTGCTATTGAGGTCAAGGACCCACCACCAACACATAGTCGTGTGCGAACCTTCGTGAGGTGATCCTATGGACGATCACTTTCTGATCGCTAAACATGTCGCCACATGTAAACATGTATGACAATATCAATCCGATTCAAGATTATTGATAAGCTCAAAACTAAACAAAACGATACAGTTACTATCAGAATGTTATCTTATGCTCTGGCCTGTAGTGGGGTGCTCTATAGCGAGTACAACCCTTCTAGGGTTTGCTATTTGTATCCTCATTCTTCCTAGTTCAACCTCTCTTCTTTCTTCTAAACTTTCACATGCTATCAGAGCAGGTCGATCCCCTTGGATCGATCCTGTGGGTGGGCTTACCACCTCCTTGCTTCCGCTGCAACTACTATCACTACACTCCGTTCCGCACGCCCCGTGGCGTGTGGCAGTTTTTCTTCCCGCCGTGCGCCCCGAGGCGCGCGGCGGTTTGGGGCGCGCGGCGGGGCGCGCGGCGGTTCTCTGCCCGCTGTGCGCCCCGAGGCGCGCGGCGGGCTTCGGCCCCGTCGACCGGCGCGTCGCCCTCGGGAGGCGCCGCGACGGGCGACGGGGACCCGGTCGTCACCCCCCGTCGCCCGTCGTGGCCTACGCGCGGCCCGTACAGGCAGCGCGCGGCCCGTACGGCCTGCGCGAGGCCCGCGCGCGGCCCGTACGGGCGGCGCCAGGCCCGCGCGCGACTCGGGCCGCCTGCGCGCGGCTCGGGCGACCCTACCAGGCCCGTGGTGGGCCCCTTCCTCGACACCGCCTCCCCCCCCCCCCCCCCCCTTTTCCCGTCGCCCGTCGCGGCTCCTTCGGGGGCCGCGACCTGGGGGGTGTCGGGTGTGTGGTCTCCCCTGCTCCTCCTCCTCCTCTGTCTCCCACTGCTGCAGCTGCCGCTGAGGGGGGTGGGTGTGTGGGATTCGACGGAGTGGTGCTAGGGGGTGGGGTGGGAGTGGAGCTAGGGGTGTAGCAGCGGGTGTGTGTTAGGGGGGTGGGACTGTTTGGGGAAGTTGCACGGAGGTTGCCGTCGTGTCGCCAGCAGCACCTGTATTCCGGGGAATTCGTCCGGTAGCCCAGTCGTAGCCAGCTGTGCTTGTCGCCCGTGGGTCCGTTGCTCGTCTGCCGCTACTTTAGCCGCGGGGCCAGTTACTCCAGTATTCCGGAGCGTTGTTCCGGTAGCCACTGTGCCAGTGTGCCTCCTGTTGCCTGTGTGTCTGCAGCTTCAGCCGTCGCCTCTTATCTCCTCTCCTCTCCTCTCACTCTCTCTTCTCCTCCTCACTTGCCCTATGCGATAGCCTCTAGCTTTGCTCATAATTGTGAACTCTAAACTATTGCTTCTTGAACTTGTGCTCAGAATGTGTGGTGACATTGTGATCCACCCTGAGCTTGTACTGCTTTGCTTGCTCTGCTGATTACACCCCACTTTGGCTATGGGGGTGTGTCAGAATGTTATCTTATGCTCTAGCCTGTAGTGGGGTGCTCTATAGCGAGTACAACCCTTCTAGGGTTTGCTATTTGTATCCTCATTCCTGCTAGTTCAACCTCTCTTCTTTCTTCTAAACTTTCACAGCTACCTACTATACATGCACACCATTATTTCAATAGACCAGCTAACTTGCCGTAAGACCATACAATATCATACACGGTAGGCTCAAACAAGTCCTTCCTCGGCAAACCGCATGTGGGTTTCAAATAAAATCTGATACTTCTCAATGTTTGAAACCTCTCCGTCCCTCTACACTCCCTCTGTCAACCGGGTGTCCCCCTCTGGCACTCGGCACGAGTTGCTTGTGTCCAGCAACTAGAGAAACCGAGGGAGCATGGCCTCTACCCGCTTGCTTGGTGCTAATCTCAACGAGGATACTAACACAGTGTGTACTGTAGACAGACAGCTAGCTCAGCATCACCTCCAGTTGCAGTTGTCCCCCTGTTGCTGGTTTCACTTTCACCATGTGAAAATACTGTAGAAGTGAGTGAGTAGGGGGTATCTGTGGTAGTCTGCCTCCTGTGAGGGCTGCACGGTGCAGGGGATATCAACCGCTGCAGCCAGCCTATAACACCAACACTGCTGCTGCTGCCAGTGGTGCCATCACGGCTGCTTGAGGGGTCAGGTGTTGAGTAAAAATCGGGAGGCGAGGCATGGTTGGAGGCAGTGGAGGCAGGGAGAGAGCACCAAGTGCCGGGGGTGATGCTATCAGGCTGCCGCTGCAGCAGCTCCCTGCGAGCAAGTGGGGGAGGATGGGAAAATGGAAGCGGGGGGGGAGGTGTAAAGAAGGATGGGAAAAGGGAAGATGGGCGAGGGAGGATGAGGGTATGGAAGGACGGGAAGAGGTGAGATGGGGTAAGGTGAGGTAGAGGAGGTATAGGGAGTGCCAATGTTGTAACAACCTGGAATAAAGCGTCATGAAGAGAGTCTAGATGTATACTTGCAAATGAAGTCTAGTTTTCTGGAGATATACTTGCAAGTGCCCAGACTAGTGAAGTCTAGTTTTCTCTGGATGCACAGTACTCATTCCTTCACCAGAATTGACTTGGTTAACTTGAGGCGCCTCGAAACACCATCTGTGGGCTTGCTTAACTGGGTTGACTTGGTTGATTGTGTAGAAATGGGCTGTTTCAATTGACCAGCTTAATTTGGTCTCTTGACTGTATTGACTTCATTGACTGGCTTGACTGGGTTGACTTGGCCATACCTGTCAATCCTATCCAGAGTCGGTGAGTTGCGAGGAAACTTCCTGGCAAAGAGGACGACGCCACTGGTGAATGCCTTGTAGAAGGAGTCGTTCATCTTGAGGGAGTGCTGCATTGGGGGGTGGGGGGGGGGGGGGGGGGGGGGGGGGTTGGGGAGGGGAGGAAAGAGAGAGTGATTGAAGCGGGAGGGGAGAGGGGAGAGGAAGATACAAGAGGGGATGGTGAGGGGGCACACTGGTGAAGGCGTCGTAGAAGGAGCCGTTCATCTCCAGGGAGTGCTGCCATGGGAGGTGAGTGGAGAGGAGGGGAGGAGAGAGGAGGCATTTCTGAGTCGACTCAGAGCTCCACTGGTGAATGCATCGTAGAAAGAGTCGTTCATCTCCAGGAAGTGATGCGGTGTGGGGTGGGGGGGAGGGGAGGTGAGGGGAGGGGAGGGGAGAGAGTGGTTGAAGCATGGCACATGGGTGAAGGCATCGTAGAATGAGTCGTTCACCTCGAGGGAGTGCTGAGATGAGGGGATGGGGGAGTCGAGGGATACAGGGGGTTGCAGGGAAGGGGAGGAGAGGGAAGGGATCGACTCAGAACTCCAATAGTGAAGGCATCGTTCATCTCAAGGGAGTGCTGCCATCGGGGACGGGGGATGGGGAGGGGCCAGGGAGGGGAAAGCAGGGGGAGGAGGGGAAGTGGAGGGGAGGGAAGGCGACGGTGCTGAAGTAGTGCTCGTCCGAGTCGATGACATCAGGTGATGACGTCAGGAGCGCAAGTGCTCCCCAGCAGTGCTCATCCGAGTGGATGTGGTGGCGGCAGGCGCACAGCGCACGTTAAAGTGGCACCCACACATGGATACGTACCCGGGCTGCCCTTGGCGAATGTGGCGAAGTGCAGACTGGCATTCACGAGGGAGTGGTTGAAGCGGGGCGAGTGGCAGGCGACGGTGCTGAAGTGATGCTCGTCCAAGTGGCTCCCAGCATCAGAATCCGTGGCTCCCAGCATTCGAATTCTATCCCTCTCAGCAAATGAATCACATGGAAACATACCGGGCTGGCCTTGGCGAAATGGAGACTCGCATTCAGGAGCGTGCGGTTGAAGTGGGGCGAGTGGCAGGCCACGGTGCTGAAGTGATGCTCGTCCGAGTGAATGGGGTTGGCGGGGCACAACACACAGTCAAGCACTGGGAAGGTGAACTTACCCGGGCTGCCCTTGGCGAATGTGGCGAAATGCAGGCTAGCGTTGAGCAGGGACCGGTTGAAGCGAGCTTTCTGGCAGGCGACGGTGCTGAAGTAGTGCTCGTCTGAGTCGATGACGTCAGCCATGTACAGCTGGCGGGCTCCCATAGGACGTAGCGCAGGAAGGGCCGCGGCGCCTTGATCCAGTTGCAACCTGCCCAGTGTTGCAGGTGGAAAGGGGGAATATTGAAAGGTGGGCAAGGGGGGGAGGATATGGCAAGTCAACAAGAAGCACAAGAAATAGGCGAGATGCCTTGATCCAGTTGTAGCCTGGAGAGGGGCGAGTGGAAGGGAGAGGTGAGGGGAGGAGAGGGGAAAAAGGCGACGCCTTGATCCAGTTGAAGCCCGGTAACTTTTGAGTCGACTCAAAAGAAGAGGTGGAGGGGAGAGGTGGAGGCAGAGTGGGGATACAAGGTGCATCAGAGAATTCACCTCCTTGGGATGTAACGCAAGGTGGCAGACTATAGAAAGCACGGAGTACCATCCTTGGGATGTAACGCAAGGAGGGGGGGATGACATGTGGAAAGGAGGAAGAAGGGGAGAGAGGGGGGAGGGGGAGGATGTCGTGACCTCACCCTCTGTCCCTCTCTTGCACTCTTGCTTCCCTTCCTTGCCCTCTCTCTTACAATCTTGTCTCTTCCCTTCTCTGCTCTCTGCCGTCCCCATCCCTGGTCCCAGGTTGCAACTCCTCCTCTTCTCTCCCTTCAGTACCCATGCACCCCTGCCCCCTCCCGTGCCAAAGCCCTTGCCTTAGCGGCTCTGCTCACGGGACCCGTCAGCTTGGGCACCACACCGCCTTTCCCGCCACCGCGACATTTGTCACATGTTCTCGCTGCTCCCTCCCCTTCTCATCTACCAGCACCAGCGCGCACTTCTTTTACCTTCCATCTCTCTGCTCCAACCGCCATGTCCAGAGTATCTCCCTTGGCGGAAGGAAGAGAGGCGCAGGTACACCTCTCTTCCTTGCGCCACTCCCTTGTCCTGTTACCTGCGCCACAAGGAGATGTGGCTCCTTGTTACCCTCCTTCCTCTGCTGATACCTCTTAGCCTCCCGCAGTTGAGCCACATGCACATTCTCCAGTGCAGCTGGCATGAGCTCCTTGAGATATTCCTTGCCAGCTCCACCGCCGCCCTGCGGTGAGGTGAGCTAGTGCTGCCCAGTCCTCAGCCTTGTCCGTGCTAATGGTGGCAGCCCATAGGACGTATCGCAGGAAGGGGCGCGACGCCTTGATCCAGTTGCAGCCTGCGCTGTGGGGAGGAAGAGGGGTTGGGATTGATGAGACGCCAGGGCAAAGGCAGGCGGCAGGAGGGAGTGGAAGCCCATCACAGGACGTCGCACAGGAAGGGGTGCGACGCCTTGATCCAATTGCAGCCTGGAGAGTTGCGAGTGGAGGTGCGAGTGCGAGTGGACGGGAGGGGAGAGGAGGGGAAAGGGAGAGAGGGGAAAGGGAGAGAGGGGAAAGGGAGAGAGGGGAAAGGTGTGGGGACAGGGGTGGAGGGTGCAGCAGAAAGTTGGAAGTGGGAAGAGAGACACTTGATCCGGTTGCAATGGGGAGGAAAGGAAGTTGAGGGGAGGAAGTAGGGAGTGAAGGGGTGAAAGGTACAGCCAAGAGTTCAGCTGGTGGGCTACCATAAAACGTAGTGCAGGAAGGGGCGCGACGCCTTGATCCAGTTGCAACCTGGAGCGCGTGCGGTGGGGAGGGCGAGGGGGAATGGGACATGGCAAGTAGGGCGCCGGTGGTGAACTCCCGTAGAGAGGGGAGGAAGGGCTCCCATAGGACGTATAGCAGGGAGGGACGAGACGCCTTGATCCAGTTGCAGCCTGGCGAGTTGTGGTGGCGAGAGGAGAGCGGGGAGGGGGGCGGTGGAAGGTGAAGAGGAGGATTTAAGCGGTGGGCTCTCATAGGAATTAGCGGATGAGGGACGAGTGGTGGGCTCCTGTGGGAGGAGGGGGGGGTTCAAGTGGCGGGCTCCCATAGGACGTAGCTCAAGAAGGGACGCAATGCCTTGACCCAGTTGCAGCCTGGAGAGGTGTGGTTGGCGGCAGGGAAGGGGGGGGGGGACGGGGGAGGAAGAGGGGGGTTGGGAGGTGCAGCAGAGTAGTCAAGCGGTGGGCAGCAAGATGCCACGCTTCATCCAGTTGCAGCCTGGAGAGGGGAGGAAAGTGGAAGGGGTGTGGAGAAGGCAGAGGGGGAAGAGATGGCAAGTCAACACAAAGCAGACGGAATGGGGGAGGATGGGAAGAGGGGGCGGGCCATCAGTTGCAGCCTGCAGTGCGGAATGTGGGGAGGGGAGGGGAGGGGAGAGGAGAGGAGGGGAGGTGAAGGGGAGGGGAGGGGAGTGGAGTGGAGGGGAGGGGAGGGGAGTGGAGGGGAGGGGAGGGGAGGGGAGTGGAGTGGAGGGGAGGGGAGTGGAGTGGAGGGGAGGGGAGGGGAGCGGAGTGGAGTGGAGGGGAGGGGAGGGGAGGGAAGGGGAGGGGAGGGGAGGGGAGAGAAGGGGAGGGGAGGGGAGGGGAGAGAAGGGGAGGGGAGGGGAGGGGAGAGAAGGGGAGGGGAGGGGAGGGGAGAGAAGGGGAGGGGAGGGGAGAGAAGGGGAGGGGAAGGGAGGGGAGGGGAGGGGAGGGGAGGGGAGGGGAGGGAAGGGGGATGACAAGCCAATAAGAAGCAATGGGGGCCTACGAGATGACAGATTGACTGTCAGGGCGCTCGTGGCTGCCTGCAAGGGGCGCGAAACGCCTTGATCCAATTGCAGGCCGCGCAGTGTTGAGGTGTGAATGGGGAAGGAGGGGGAATACGCGGATACGAGTGCAGAGGTGCCCAAGAGAAAGGGGGGAGAGGATCCGACAGGAGGGGTGCAAGTGGGAAGGGCGGAGGATGGAGGAGATGGAAGGTCAGTCGGAGGCAGGAGCAGGCGGGGGTGGGGGGAGGGTGGTACGAAATGGAAAGTGAAAGGGCAGGCGGCAGGAAAAGATGGCAAGCTGCTAGGCTTGCAGGCTGTTTGGCAGATGAGGCAACAGGAAGGGGTGAGATGCAGCACAGACGAAGCACGGTGGGAGTTACTCTCGGTGGGAGTTACTCTCGGTGGGAGTTACTCTCGGTGGGAGTTACTCTCGGTGGGAGTTACTCTCGGTGGGAGTTACTCTCGGTGGGAGTTACTCTCGGTGGGAGTTACTCTCGGTGGGAGTTACTCTCGGTGGGAGTTACTCTCGGTGGGAGTTACTCTCGGTGGGAGTTACTCTCGGTGGGAGTTACTCTCGGTGGGAGTTACTCTCGGTGGGAGTGCGCGGCGAGTATTCACGAATGCATTGAAGTCAACTATCGGCAGAAGGCCGCACCACGTGAAAGGAGGAGTGTTTTGAGACGTCTCAAAACACTCCTTTCACGTAACTATCGGCAGAAGGCCGCACCAATGCAGGTCAACGCGAGTTGACTCACCCATGAAGACATAGAAGCGACGGCAGCGGGCAGCACGTCCCTTATCAGCACTGTGCGTTGAAGTTACACGAGTCAACGCGAGTCAACGCGATTCAGCGCGATTCAACGCGAGTCAACTCACCCATGAAGACGTGGAAGCGAGTGACAGCGGGTCGCACGTCCCGCATGAGCTTGTGCCCTCTGTGCGCCTGGAAGAGCGCCCTGTCCAGATTCACTGCACGCTGCCGGTAGCTGGTGGGGGAGGGGACATAAGGGGGAAGGAAAGAGGGGGGATTGCACAATGAGCAGGGGGGGCTTGTGCCCTCTGTGCGCCTGGAACAACGTTCTGTCCAAATTCACTGCACGCTGCCGGTAGCTGGCAAGCAGAGCAGAGAATGGGTACGGGTGGGGGATGAGAGGGGGGGGGGGGGGGGGGTGGGGGGGGAGGGGCGGCGGGAGGAAGGAGGGGGGTGAGGAGGGAGTTGTGAGGAAGAGGGGGAAGGAGTATGGGGAGCGTGTGCTCTCTGTGCGCCCTGTCCTGCTTCACTGCGCGGTAGCTAGCGAGCAGATAGGAGAAGGGTTAGGGATGGGGGGAGAATGTGGGGAGGGTGGGGGGTTGGGGAAGGAAGAGCTTCCTGTCCAGATTCACTGCACGCTGCCGGTAGCAGGCGGGCAGAGGAGGGCGGAGGAAGGGGGTTGTGGGAGGGTTGGGGAGGGAGTAGGGGGGGGCTGTGCCCTCGGCGCCCTGGAAGAGCGCCCTGTCCAGATTCACTGCACGCTGGCGGTAGCTGGAGGGAAGAGGGAGGGCGGAGGAAGGCGGTCGTGGCAGGTTTGCGGAGAGAGTAGGGAGAGAAGGGTTGTGTGCGCCTGAACCAGAGCTCTGTCAGATTCACTGGATGCTGCCGGTAGGCAGAGTGAGGGCGCAGGAAGGGGGTTGTGGGAGGGTTGCGGAGAGAGTAGGGGCAGGTTGTTCCCTGTGTGCACCTGAACCAGAGCTCTGTGAGATTCGCTGGATGCTGCCGTTAGCTGGCGGGCAGACGAGAGGGCGGGGCGGGTGGGGAGAAAGAGAGGGTTGTGTTCACGAGGAAGGGAAGGGGAGGGAAAGAGGAGATGGGGAGGTGAGGGGGGTAGGAGATGGAGAGGGGAGGGGAGGGGGAGAGGAGAGGGAGAGGGGAGGGGAGGGGGAGAGGAAAGGTGGAAGGGAGGGGGAGGAGAGATGAGGAGGGGAGGGGGAGGAGAGGGGGAGGGGAGGTGGAGAGGAGAGGGGAGGGGAGGACGAGAGGATATGGGAAGGAGAGGGGGAGAGGATATGGGAAGGGGAGGGGGAGAGGAGAGGGGGAGGGGAGGGGGAGAGGAGAGGGGGATGGGAGGGGGAGAGGAGAGGAGGAGGGGATGAGGAGAGGAGAAAGAGAGGAGTGTTAAGAACTGTGTCATTTGTGCCGTCTGTGCTGGTTCTGCCTGAGGCACGTGGGGGATGGGCGCCGACAGAGGAAGACGTAGGAGATTCCCTTGCGCCTGCTCTGCACATGTTGCAACTTGCAAGGCACTGTCCAGATTCGCTGCATGCTGGTGGTTACTGTCACGGACCAATCTCCTGCTAGGACCTCGAATGTGGGGTGGAGTGGATCTGCGAATGTGGGGTGGTGTGGATCTGCGAATGTGGGGTGGTGTGGATCGGCGACGTTACTGTCACGGACCTTGCAATCTCCACCCAGGACCTCATTCATGGGGTCATTCATGGTTCATTCATCGCCACCCAGGACCCAATCTCCACCCAAGACCCAATCTCCACCCAGGACCTCATTCATGGGGTCATTCATGGTTCATTCATCGCCACCCAGGACCCAATCTCCACCCAAGACCCAATCTCCACCCAGGACCCCACAGCATCATCGCGCAGTGTGGGGTGGGCTGTACAGCTGGCGGCGGCACGAGCCAAGGAACACAAATACCACCACCGCTTGATCGGATTGGGTGGGGTTTATTCATAGTTCATTCATCGCCATGGCTGTCGACACCTGTGCTCGGATTGGTTGGTTACTGCTCCCCCGGGGCCTTCGGGTACCGTACCGTGCTTTGAGTCGACTCAAAACCATGGTTGTTGACACCTACTACTGTTACTGCTCCCCGGGGGTCTTCGAGTACCTTCGCCTTCGCCTTTGCGCAGAGCTTGCAGCCAAAAGTCGGCTGCACAACGCTGAACCCACCACCTCGCGAGAAGCGGTGAGGCATGCCTCTTTGTGACGATGGGTCTCTCCCATCCTGCGCAGGCTGTATACCTAAAAACGCAGCATCGGCTCCAAGCGCGCACACCAAGAAACGGTGTCGCCACATGTAGAACGCGCGGCGCTCGTGCCGTGTCGCACGAGTGCTATTCAGTCGCATTGTGGCAGTGCAAAACCACGTGATAGTTCCAGTGAGGTTTGCGAGGTACGAAAGGGGAGGTTGAGAGGCATTGCTCGCTGTTAACAGGGTAGTAATTACTAGCTGCAGGTATTACCGGTACTAATGGCTGCCTCCGACCTGTCGTTGCCAGTCCAGCCATGAGCGTCTACGTACATGTGGTTGCCCACTTAATATGTAACGCATCACCTACCTACCCTAGCGACTATTCTAGCTAAGGCTCTCTAAAGCGCTACCTACGCAAGGTAGCGACTTACGGGAAGAAAGGGTTGGAAGGGATGATTGTTGATTGGTCCACAATTGTGAATCACCATCCACTAAAAGACAAACAAGGTTGGGAACCAACCCAACCTTAGCATTGGTGGACATTCAAACCAATAACATTTCAATGCTGCTGTTACAAGTTACAACAGGTAACCAGACATTTCTTATCACAAATAATTTGCTCTCATTGGTTGCAAATCCAACCAACATGCTGTTGGGAATATAAACGCATGACTTGGTGCGTTTCTGTAGTATCGAACCTCACCCGATACTGAAACACAACAAAGGGGGTATGAAGTCGAAAAGGCGCGTACCACATCAAACCGCAACTGGAGGTTGCGAGCCGTAACCGCCTGGAGGTTACGCAACAGCAGGCGATGCTTCAGTGAACAGTAACCGCCTCGATAGTCGAAGCGTTACGCGTCTCGATAAACATAACCGCTTCCTGTAATCTATCTTTTCTATATATTCCTGTATGCTCTTTGCTTTAATCAATTACTTGTTCTCACATACCAGCACAACTACATTCACTCAAAAAACTTCCGCTGTGCTACTCTAGCACCTACTAGCCTATTCTCTGCAAAGATCCTAAGGCTGAAATCCTCAGCCCAACACATGCCACCTAAGCAAACTCACCTTAAGGAGCTCGTTACCCTTGTTGCCGTGGAGGAGGTGGAGCTCCCCAATGGGTGTTGAGGAAGGGGTTTGGAGCTCCAAGGCTCATTCTCTCATTCTCAACTCCAATTGATCAATTTTGGAAATGGGATTTCTCTGAGTACAGAACTTTTCCCTCACAAGTGCTCTAAGCTTCAACTGTCCTTTTGGTGGAAGCTACTCTATCACTCTCCAAGCTTCATCTACCAAGTCTAGAAGACTCAAAGCTATCTTAGGAGCTAGTTTACCTTGTGTGTTTTATTGTTGGCATTTTTATAAGCCTACTAGTGACCCTTTTTGTGGGCATTCATTTATAAGCCTGGGTCTTTATTGTGCTTTTAAGGGCGTTTCTCTATAAGCCCGTGTTACATAATATCAGTCGCATGGTTATAGTATCGCAATCACACCAGGCTGCGGGAAGGAAGGGAGGTACAAACCAAAGAAGCATTCCGGTACTATATTACTGCACTGGTAGTACCGTATGGCCCCGGATAGTAGCGCATATGCGCTTATAAAAAATATTTTTTTTTTGGGGGGGGCGCTTGTAATTGAGCAACGGCCATAAGCGCCGGCGCTTATATAATGAAAGATAAGAAATTGTATATTTAGAGCACCAAATTGTTCATTTTCTTCTTGCCATTTCAACCGAGTCGAAATGTTATAGCGTCGCAAAGCAGAATCTCGCGCAAGCGATATTCTGGGTTCACACAAAGGCGAAGACACGTCATGCCAGCACATCCTGACTGGACGCGAAGCCAGTCAGGTCTTCGCGAGTCAAACGAAGCGAAATTTAAATCTGACTCGCTGCAAAAATGTGTTTCGTTACCGTTTTAAGCAAGAAATTATATTAAATTTACACGTGCGCTTATAATATGTTAAGGTTTTCTAGGGGGGGCGCTTATAATCGAGGAACGGCCATAAGCGCCATGCTCCAGATAGAGGCGCCGGCGCCTTTAATCGGACGGCGCCTATATCCGGGGCCATACGGTAGTAAGCATTGCGGGAGGAGGGACGGGCTTTGCGTGGCGTTGATCGTGACTTGCGCAGGCATGGAGAGATGAGGGCAGCGAGCCAACGAGCGGCGGAGAGTGCAAGCCACGCTCGCGGCTGCATCGCAGTTGGCTTTGGCGGCGGCGGCATTTGCGGCACGGATGAATTGATCTGCTACTACCACTTCCCCTACTAGCAGTGGTGACGCGCCTCAAAAACCGACTACTTCCGCGACTTGGTGACGGGGCAAGAGTTGAACACGTAGGAGAGGATGAGAGAAGAGGCTGCCTGGAAGGGGCCGACGAAAGCTGCTGCTGCGTTTTCGGTTCGTTACAAGTTTATTATTACCATAATAAACTTCGGTTTAGAGTGATCCATGTACACGATCTTTTCTTTCCACTAGATATAACGGCTATATCTATACGGTACGTTGTAAACACGTACGGTAGGGGGGGAAGAGGGGGGATTAAAACCCTAAAAAACATAGAACGATGCCAACACCTCCAGGAATGATACAAGGGCGAACAACTCGTCACCTACAATCCATTAACAATGGAAAAAAGGCATAGAAAAGATACGGTAGCATAATCTCAACGGCTCTTCCATGCACAATTTGTTAACCTACTCTTGACACTTATTATGTAGACACCATTCAAAGTTAGTAGCTCAATAGACCAGCAAGCTTATTACCATACATATATTACATGCAAGTGCTCAAGTAAATTGAGTCCCTGGCAAACCACATGTGGGTTTCAAATCAAATCTGATACTTCTCAATGTTTGGAACCTCTCCGTCCTTCCACTCTCCCTCTGTCAACCTGCTATCCCCCTCAGGCACTCGGCACGAGTTGCTTGTGTCCAGCAACTTGAGAAACCGAGGCAGCATGGCCTCCACCCGTTTGCTTGGTGCTAGTCTCAAGGAGCCTACTAACTCAGTGTTTACTGTAGACGGGCAGCCAGCTCCACTCTCGTTAGAATCACCTCCAGTTGCAGTTGTCCCCCTGTTGCTTGTTTCGGTTTCACCATGTGATGTGACTATGAAAGGGGTATTCACAGGAGCCTGCCTCCTGTGAGGGTTGCACGGTGCAGGGGATAGCAACCACTGCAGCAAGCCAAAAATACCAACACTGCTGCTGCTGCTGCTAGTGGTGCCGCTGGTGCTGTCAGTGGTACCATCACTGGGTGGTGAGTGGAACGTGGAAGGCGAAGCAGTGGAGGCAGGGAGAGAGCACCAGTCGCCTGGCGTGATGCTGTCAGGCTGCCGCTGCAGCAGCTCCCTGCGAGCACAGGAGGGGGATGACGGGAAGAGGGAGTGTGGGGTTACAGGAGGATGGTAAGAGGGATGGGAAAGGAGGGAAACCGAGTCAGCGGAGGCAGGAAGAGAGCACCAGGCGCCGGGCGTGATGCTGTCAGGCTGCCGCTGCAAAAGCTCCCTGCGAGCACGAGGGGGGTGCGAAGAGGAAGGGTGGGGAAACGGAAACAGGAAGATGGGTGTAAAGAAGGATGGAAATAGGGAAGATGGGCGAGGGGGGATGAGATGGAAGGATGGGAAGAGGTGAGATGGGCTAAGGTGAGGTAGAGGAGTTATAGGGAGTGCCAATATGGGTAGTCCACTACAAATTAGTCAACTCCAGAGCAGTCAACTCCAGAGTAGTCAACTCCAGAGTAGTCAACTTCAAATTAGTCAACTCTAAATTAGTCAAGTCCAAATTAGTCAACTCCAAATTAGTCAACTCCGAATTAGTCAACTCTGAATTAGTCAACTCCAAATTAGTCAACTCCAGAGTAGTCAACTTCAAATTAGTCAACTCTAAATTACTCAACTCTAAATTACTCAACTCCAAATTAGTCAACTCCAAATTAGTCAACTCCAAATTAGTCAACTCCAAATTAGTCAACTCCAGATGAGTCAACTCCAGATGAGTCAACTCCAAATTAGTCACCTCCGAATTAGTCAACTCCAAATTAGTCAACTCCAAATTAGTCAACTCCAAATTAATCAACTCCAAATTAGTCAACTCCAAATGAGTCAACTCCAAATGAGTCAACTCCAAATTAGTCAACTCCAAATTAGTCAACTCCAGAGTTCTGTGCAGGTTCTGGTATGGTATCCATTCATTCACAAATCGTTGGACTTTGGTTAACTGGATTGATTCGGTTGACTGTGCAGACTGGATTGACTGGGTTAACTGGGCTGACTGGGTTAACTGGATTGACTGGGTTAACTGGATTGACTGGGTTGACTGGGCTAACTGGGCTGACTGGGTTAGCTGGGCTGACTGGGCTGATTTGATTGACTGTGCAGACTGGGCTCTTTGATAGAAAGGCTTGATTTGGTTGACTGGATTGACTTGGTTGACTTCTGGATTGACTTGGTTGACTTCTGGATTGACTTGGCTGGCTTCTGAGTTAACTAGGCTGACTTGCTCATACCTGTCGATCTTATCCAGAGTTGGTGAGTCGCGAGGAAACTTCCTGGCAAAGAGGAAGACGCCACTGGTGAAGGCTTCGTAGAACGAGTCGTTCATCTCGAGGGAGTGCTGCAAGGGGGGGTGGGGTGGAGGAGGGAGAGGCGGGTGGGGAGGGGTGGGGAGGGGTGGGGAAGGGTGGAGAAAGAGCGGTTTAAAGGGGGTGAGCTGGTGAAGGCATCGTAGTACGAGTCGTTCATCTCCAGGGAGTGCTGCCATGGGGGGAGAGGGGGGGAAGCGGAGGGGGAGGAAGGGGGAGTCGGTGAATACAGGGGGTTGCAGGGGAGGGGAAGAGAGGGAAGGGATCAACTCAGAGCTCCACTGGTGAAGGCGTCACCGTAGGAGTCGTTCATCTCGAGGGAGTGCTGCCGGGGGAAGAGGGGAGAGGAGGAGGGGACGGGTGGAAGGACCCTGCAACGAAGGTGGGGAAGTCAAGGCTGGCAGCGAGCAGCGAGCAGTTGAAGCGGGGCAAGTGACCCCCTGTCACTATGCCAACACGAAGACATACCAAACTGCTCGTTGGCATGCCATCACACACAGCGAACCCACCGGGCTGCCCTTGGCGAAGGTGGGGGAGTCAAGGCTGGCATTGAGCAGCGAGTAGTTGAAGCAGGCCGAGTGAACCTGCCTCTATATCACCCTGTCACGCATTGCAAATGCCCTGCTGCGACCACAACCCCCCCTGATTGAGAAGGTGAACCCTCCGGGTTGCCTTTGGTCATACCATCGCTGGGAACGTAACGGGCTGCCCTTGGTAAAAATGGCAAAGTGCAGACTAGCTTTGAGGAGCAAGCGGTTGAGGCGGGGCGAGTGCCCATCACCCTGAGAGGCCCCCACCATGAGAATGCCATGCTGCCACAACCATTAAGGCGCCTCAAAAGGCAGGCCCATGGCGCACCGGGCTGCCCATTGAGCACACGTGTAAAGAGGTTATTTTTGAGACGCCTCAAAAAGAGGTTTTTTTTTAGACGCCTCAAAAGAGGTTATTTTTGAGACGTCTCAAAAAGAGGTTATTTTTTAGACGTCTCAAAAATAACCTCTTTGCCCATAGCGCACCGGGCTGCCCATTGAGCAGCAAGAGGTTTAAGCGAACGAGTGACCCTGCCCCCGTATCACCCCGCGCTATGCTACCATAACACCCCTGACGCCGGGCTGCCCTTGGCGAAGGTAGCGTAGTGAAGGCTGGCATTCAGGAGCGTGCGGTTGAAGCGGGGCGAGTGGGAGGCGACGGTGCTAAAGTAGTGCTCGTGCGAGTGAATGTGCTTGGGGGGAGCACAACACGCATTTAAGCACTGGGGAGGGCGAACGTACCGGGCTGCCCTTGGCGAATGTGGCGAAGTGAAGGCTGGCATTCAGGAGCGAGCGGTTGAAGCGCGCTGTCTGGCAGGCGACGGTGCTGAAGTAGTGCTCGTCTGAGTCGATGACGTCAGCCATGTACATGAGGATGCGGCGCGGCCAGCTGGCGGGCTCCCATAGGACGTAGCGCAGAAAGGGACGCGACGCCTTGATCCAGTTGCAGCCTGCCCAGTGTGGGTGCAGGGGAGGGGGGAAGAGGAAGGGGGAAGAGGAAGGGGGAAGAGGGGAGAGAGGGGAGGGGATAGGAGAGGAAGGAGAGATGGCAAGTCAACACGAAGCAGCAGGAAGGGGCGCGACGCCTTGATCCAGTTGCAGCCTAGAGAGTTGTGGTGGGGAAGGGAGGAAGGGGAAGGCGGGTGGAAGGTGCAGCAGAGAGTTCAAGCAGTGGGCTTCCATATGACATAGCGCAGGAAGGGCCGAAATGTCTTCATCCAGTTGCAACCTAGAGAGGGGCGAGTAGATGGGGAGCGGAGGGGGCATGCAAGGTGCAGGTGATGTGCACACAAGGACGAGGGGGAGGGCGGGGGAAGGGAGAGGAGATTGCTGCAGGGTACTTTTGAGAATTCTCAAAAAAACCACGGAAAGCGGAGAAGCTGAAGGAAGGGGCGAGAGGCCGTGATGCGGAGAGCGGAGGGGAGGGGAAGGGGGAGCGGAGGGGGAGTGGATGGGGAAGGGGAAGGGGGCAAGGAAGGTGCAGGTGGTGTGCTCCCATCACGGTGGAGGAGGGAAGGTTCTGCTGGCGGGCTCCCATAGGGAATCCTGTTGGCCTTGAAGGGGCGAGTCAACGCAGGTCAACACGGGTCAGCACAGGGCGACTCACCCATGAAAACATGGAAGCGAGTGGCAGCGGGCCGCACGTCCCGCATGAGCTTGTGCCCTCTGTGCGCCTGGAAGAGCGCCCTGTCCAGATTCACTGCACGCTGGCGGTAGCTGGAGGGGGAGGGAAAGAGGGGTTTGTGTGCGTGGTGGAGGAAAGGAGAGTTTGGGGTGGGGAGGGAGTAGAGGGAGCTTGTGCCCTCCGTGCGCCTGGAAGAGCGCTCTGTCCAGATTCACTGCACGCTGGCTGTCGCTGGCACGTAGAGGAAGGAGATTGGCAAGGGGGGATGGGGGTTGGGGGATTTGTGGAGGGCTTGAGAGGGAACAGCGCCCTGTCCAGGTTCACCGAAAGAGGCGGGGCGGGATTTGGAGTGGCGGGGGACGCGGACTTGTGGCGGGCGAGAAGGGGAAGTGAAGGGAGGGGCGGTGGAGAGTTGGAGAGTGGCGGCATGAGGTGTTGGAGCTAGTTTCATTCGCGCCCTGTCCTTGGTTCTGTCCGGGGTAGGTGGGGAAGGGGAAGGAGAGAGGACGGCAGGAATGGAGATTTTCTTGTGCAGACGCATAAGGGTTCGTTGCATGGTGGCGGCACGTGGGGGTTCAGTGCATTGAGAGAAGCATGCTTGAGAGACTTCATAGTCGACTCGAATTTCACAGTAGCTACTTCGGCCACTGGAGGGAGGAGTTATGAAAAGCAAGGCGGGTGTATCAAGAAACGCAAGAGACGCAAGGGGGAGGGGAAGGTGATGGTAGGGCGATGACGAACGGCAATCCGTTGCAGTGTGAATGTATAGTCACTGTCGCATTAACGATGTGTAACATGGGAAACCAGACAGATACAAGCGCGTGAAAACGGACGAGTACATGCGTCTGACTATAACGGGGACACAATAGCAGAACCACTCACTCGAATCGGTGCTCGACGCTGTGGTCCATGAAAGAGTGGTTCCGGTCCGCGTGCGAAAGCAGAAGAGTAAACGCATGTGGCTGTAACGGGGACACAAGAGTGACTCACTCGAATCGGTGCTCGACGCTGTGGTCCATGAACGAGAGGCTGCGATCCACGTGCGAAAAGAGATAGAGCATGTCTGGAGAGTGAGGTGGGAAAGTGAAGGGGCGGGGTGAGGGTGAAGAGAGCAAGCTTTATGAGTGATCCACGTGCAAAAACATAATCATCATGTCTGGAGAGTGAGTGTGGGAGGGGTGGGGGTGAGAAGGGTGAGTACGTTGCCTAGAATTCACCTGCGAAAACAAATACAGCATGTCTAGAGAGTGAGGCTTGTGAGGGGGGCAAGAGGGAAGTGTGAAAGCAGATACAGCATGTCTGGAGAGAGAGTGAGGGTGAGGAGGTCAAGTATGTTTTTAGAAAAGCGCCTCAAACCTTAATTCACGTGCGGAAAAAGATACAGCCTGTTTGGAAAGTAAGGAAAGTGAGGGTGAGGGTGAGGAGGGTGAGTGGGTGAGGGGGGTGAAATATGGTGCAGAGGAAATGAGCGCGCGTAGGCGAGGACTGAGCCTATTACATCTTATTCGCCCGTCTTGTGGTAAGAGATCACGGAGAGTGCTTCGCGCCATCGTGTGAGTGCGAAGCACGCGCGAGGACGTGAGAAAGAATCAACAAAATAACCCCCAGAACGTACCAAAGCTTTTCGTTACACTCACCGTCTTGTGACATTAACGGGTAGTCCGCAGCGCTCAGGTTGATGAACCAGTCCCACTGCGCGCCGCTCGCTATATGCACATGCGCGAGGCGCAGCGTCGCGGACAGCAGCGTCGACCCCTGGTACGTGACTACTTCGGGGTCCGGAATAACGACAACATTCGCGCGGCTCGACAGCGCGGGGTGGGCTGCAATTTTTGTCTTTAGCGCGAGAGTTTCCTCCGGGTCGTCGATATGGACGGCGTAGTGGTTCAACGGGTGGTAGATGGCGAGTAGGAGGCGCACGACGCGCGCGCTGTCGTTTTTTCGCGCCGAGGATGCCGTACGCCAGGCGAGGGGTACCTCCGCCGCCCTTTCCGCCAATTGGACTATACGCGCTGTCTTTTTCCCGCCACCATTCCGCCACTTCCCCCGCCGCGGCGCTCTCGCCGCCGGCAGCGCCCGCGCCACCTGCCGGCCGTTCGACTACAACCGACACGGACGGCTGTAGCGTCCCTACGGCCTGCAATCCCCCGCCGCTGCTAGCGCCGCCCGGCTGTAGCCCCGCGAGCACGAGCGCGTCGACGGCGTCGCGGTCGGGCGGGCAGGCGGGCCAGAGGCGGGGGTTGGCGGAGAAAAGGAGGAGATTTCCGAAGAGAAGCGCGCCGAGCACGATGGCGGGGAGCGTGCAGCGGAAGGCGGAGATGACGTGCGCGGAAGCGGAGTGCGCGGAGGGTTTGGCGGAAGGGGAGAGCTGATGGAAGGGGTCGCGCGGGGAGGTGGCGTTTCCCTCGGGTAACCAGCCCATGGCGAGAGGTGAGCGAAGGTGGCTGGAAACGAATTCCTGCGAGATGCTAAGAATGACGTCCGTGGGGTGACCAAATCATATGAGACTGCAGTGGGAAAGGCTGGGAAATATTACGCGGGGCTATCGGGTGGAAAAGGCTGCGAAGCAAGTTTCGTTCCTGAAACGCACAACTTATCGCAATCGAGCGTGATTGCGCGCGATCGAGGAGCTATTCACAACGTTTCTAATAGCATCAGCTCATCTCAACGAGTCTACAGATCCGCTGCTGAAACATCCTGAAAAAATCAATCCGTTCGAAATGTGTTGGTTTGACGGAAATAGAAGGTCTAGTCGACGACTAGAGAACTTGCGCCGGTTCGGTGGGCGTCATTTGCACATGCACTCTCAAGTTGCTCCTGACTTCGAAATTACGGGCTGTCGGAGAACCGTATCCTGACGTATGTCACTTCGAGTTCTCATGTTTTAGATTGTCTACGTCTTTGCACACTACAACTTGACCCACCCTGGCTGGGCAAGGAGCAAGAGTTTGTATGAATCACTGGACTGAGGATGGCGAAGCGTGAACAGTGAATTATTATTTCTAGACTCCTCACGCGATGTGAAGTATGCGTGCTTCGCGCTGCATGCAGCCTGTGTTAGAGCAAGGGCTCCACAAAACCCTCGGCAGAACTGGTCTATTCCAGGGCAAGGGAGCAAGATGTGGTGGGGCGATTTCAATCAGGGGGCAATGAGGGGCGATTTTCGTGACGAGAGGGGCGAGGGCGCGGTTTGTGTGGTTTTTGTTGGACGAAGGGGAGGAGGAAGGTTGAGGGGGTGAGGCTGTACCGCTTTGTAACACTTTGTAACTCATCTGATCGTACGAGAACGCACAGCACAACCCAAATCACAAGTGTCGTGATGGCGGGCTGACATGTCCTCCTTGAAATGCCAAGGGTTCAACGCGACACGAGGTTCCTGTCAAGCCAATCAGGCTTTACCCGAACCGGGGCCAGACATGAACATGTACCATCGAATCATGTACGATAGTAGAGAGGCTGGGAAGAAACGTGTTCTGGGCAGCTAGACCGAACCTTGACAAGGTATGGTAGGCATGTCCCAGGTCTGCCCGGGGCTCAAGGTAGCTGAGTTCACCACAGCACCGTCTGGTCTCTTCAACCAGACTTGATAACAGGGTCGTCAAACGTTTTGTTCTGCGAATCTCAGCCACGGAAAAATCAGACCGAATCGCTTGGTTGGGCACTCGGTTCGGCAGAGTCGTGACTCCCTGACTTGTCTAGAATATGTATAAGAGGTATATGCCAACGAAACCAGCAATTCTGTACTAACTGAAGCAGGGCTATATCGAGCAAGAACAGGCTCTCGCTAGCGCGTTACAGAACCACTCGTCTCGATTCAGAACGGGGCTCCATATGCTTTCACTGCCTATATAAATTTCACTGTAGTTATCTGGGTTTGTTTATCCGAGCGGTGGTTGCTTGTGACGAGAGATTTCAAGACAGAAAGCTAGGGTTTGGTTCTCTTTGAGCGTTGCTAGGCTCAGATACCCACCAGCAAGGCCTAGTCCAACCGTCCAGTGATTGTCTTAACCAGCGCGATTCGTGCCCCGCCGTTTGTTAACTGTTAAAATCCTATCAGGGATTTCGGTCTTCCTGATCTGCAGCCATGCCGAAGAACAAGGGAAAGGGAGGTAAGAACAGGAAGCGAGGAAAGAACGAGGCCGACGACGAGAAGCGCGAGCTGGTTTTCAAGGAGGATGGGCAGGAATACGCTCAGGTGATGCGTATGCTCGGTAACGGTCGCTGCGAGGCGCTTTGCATCGACGGGATTAAGCGGCTCTCCCACATCCGAGGCAAGATGCATAAGAAGGTGTGGATCGCTGCAGGAGATATTATCCTGGTTGGGCTGCGAGATTACCAAGACGACAAGGCTGATGTCATTCTGAAGTATCAACCGGACGAGGCGCGCCTTTTGAAGGCGTATGGAGAATTGCCGGATAATATCAGGTTGAACGAGGGTATTGCCGGAGGCATGGACGAAGAGGGTGAAGACGGCGGAGATGACTATATCGAATTCGAGGATGAAGACATTGACAGGATATAGAATTGTGACTATGACGGGAGGATGCAGGCCCTGGTGCATAGCAGCTGGTTTTGGGGATTATGTGGAGCTATAGATGACGTATAGTTTTTCAATGTTATGATTTTGAGGGGTTCTTTAGGTTGTTTCTTACCTGATGTTCAGCCACGGACGCGGGGATGCTTATAAAGCTCCATGAGTGGGCTTCTTGCCCTCTTGTAAGACCTGTTAGGGCGTATAACATTTTTGTCACCATGAAACAACCAATTGGCAATTGTAGAAAGTACATACGGTATCAGCGGGGTATTGGTTTTTGGGTACCCTGAGCACAGTGTCCCTTGGGATAGTAACACTTATCTTCAGTGTCGTCTGTTGAAAAACACTGTTAACTTAATTCAGGGTTCAAACACAAATAAAACTGAGCAATCAGCCTGCCTAAAAGTAGAACACTGATCAGCATTATGATTAATATCCTAAGGATGAGGAATTAAGCCATTGTTTCCAACGTTTCCGATAATAAACACATAAAACATTCACATTTAGAAAGCTTGCTTTCTTGTGTTTGCAATGGCAACGAGCTTCGTTTCAAATGGGCATTACAACATTCTCGTCCTACTTAGATATGGTACCTACATTACAAGTTCCAACATGCAATTTTTGCTAGGGTGGGTGGGTGGGAAATAAGACATTTGAAATTTCAAACGAAGACGTGGGTGGAGGCCAAATGGCCTCCACCCCTTGCTATATAGTTGGCGAAGAGCGTAGAACACTTCGCCGTTGCCATTGCTGCATTACAAGCAGCGTCGCTTTCGAAATATACATTTTTAGAAAGTGTTACACACTTTCAAAAAACTTCATATTTTGAAAGCTTGCTTTCTTGTGTTTGCAATGGCAACGAGCTTCGTTTCAAATGGGTCTTCTGAGACATGAGACGGGGTCATTCTAACGAGATGTTAAAGGTTGTTTGTGGCTTATGCGATGACATGTCGGTGGAGGTCCAATCACGCACGAAGGAGAGGCTGGCACCGATGTTGATGGTGATGCTGTATTCCCTGCTGTTGCCTTGGATGAAGTGTTGCCCCGAGTGTAGCAGAGTAATGTTGATTTATGAGAGTCGGCTGACGTGTGAGCTTCGGACACAAACTCGCAAGCAGTATAGGAGGACTCGGGTAACGGGCATTGGTGTTTTGTGTGATGATGGATGTGATGCTTGTAGGAGCCCAACCCTTGTAGCAGTCACAACCGTGCTCACATTACGAAGAGTGCATGCATCTGTAACCGGATACGGTAAATCTGCCGGCCTTTGAGCCCTTTGTATGTGTGTGCTTTTTTTTTTTTTTTTTTTTTTTTGGATCTGCTAGACTTGAGCACCATTTCAAACTCACCACAACATTGTTCAATCAACCAACTCAAGTGTGACCACATCCGGACCGTGCAATTGAAGGCTTTCAACGCCTAAGGTGTGTGAGAAGTGTAACTAAATTGCACAACCATGAATCTACCCTACAAATGGCCCACAAGCCAAAAAGGGACCCACCGGTCCTCCTCCCCCCTGGGGAGCTCGCTGGCCAGCACCGCACAGGGCCCACCAGTCCTCCTCCCCCCTGGGGAGCTCGCTGGCCAGCAACGCACAGGACCCACCGGTCCTCTTCCCCCCTGGGGAGCTCGCTGGCCAGCACCGCACAGGACCCACCGGTCCTCCTCCCCCCTGGGGAGCTCGCTGGCCAGCACCGCACAAGACCCACCGGTCCTCCTCCCCACTGGGGATCTCGCTGGCCAGCACCGCATAGGACCCACCGGTCCTCCTCCCCCCTGGGGAGCTCGCTGGCCAGCACCGCACAGGACCCACCGGCCCTCCTCCCCCCTGGGGAGCTCGCTGGCCAGCACCGCACAGGACCCACCGGTCCTCCTCCCCCCTGGGGAGCTCGCTGGCCAGCACCGCACAGGACCCACCGGTCCTCCTCCCCCCTCAGGAGCTCGCTGGCCAGCACCGCACAGGACCCACCGGTCCTCCTCCCCCCTGAGGAGCTCGCTGGCCAGCACCGCACGGGAGCGCATGGGGTTGTGCCAATTGTTTGCCGCAGTCTTTCTTCGCCGATGGTCTCTCATGGCGACCCAAAGCTATGGTAGTTGCCTCGCACCGATTTACTGCGATAAGAGGTAATAAATATCACGAGAGAAAAACGAAGACAAACAAAAATCGAAGATACGTACGAAGAAAAGGTGGAAACATATGCAAGGTAATAAGTTATCCGCTGACAATGTCAGCAGCAGGAGAGCATATGTCATGCCAGTTGGTCTCTGGAGATTTCTGTGAGAATAAGCGAACAGGAATGAATGAACTAGCAGTGAAATGAGTACAAATAGGAAACCCTAGAATTGTGTACCCCCTATAGGCTAACCCACTGTAGCCTACACAAGCATAACATATATAATGTTTGACACACCCCCATAGGCAAAGTGGGGGAGAACAAGGGGTCACAAGACCAGTCAAGCAAAGCAAAGCAAAGCAAGCTCAGGGTGGATCACAACGTCACCACACAGTCTAAGCACAAGGTCAAGGCCACAAGGCCAGTTCACATGCAGGAGTACAGACATATATATAAAACTAGACAAGCAAGAGCAGGTATATATATATGTCACAGTACAAGTGAAGTCAAGAGGAGAGCAAGTGAGGCAAGACAGGCACAAGACCCAGCTGGGTGCAAAAGCGCTGATGGTCACAAGGCGCGAGTGCCTTGGTGAACACATCAGCAGTGTTGGCCTCAGAGGCCACGTACGCAAGTCGCAACTGACCACGCTGCTGCAGCTCACGAGCAAGGAAGTAGCGGAGAGCAATGTGCTTCGTTCTGTGCTCCAAGCGCTGCTCTCGACACAAGGCCAGCATGGCCTTGTTGTCTACGTACAGCACTGGAGGAGAACAAGGCGGCTCTCCAAGGTCAGTCAGCAGGTAGGTGAGCCAGCGAAGCTCCTGTGCAGCCATGGCCCCGGCGTAGATCTCAGCCTCACAACTGGAGCCGAGAACCGAAGACGAGCGAGTAGACCGCCACGAGACAGAGCCGGAACCAAGGCTGAAGGTGTAACCCTGTGACGACCGCTGCGTAGCCTGGTCGTCAGCCCAAGAAGCGTCCGCGTGGCCGGTAAGGACCAATGGACTCCGCCCTCCAAGCACTAGCCCCATGCCCGACGTACTGCACAGGTAGCGCAATACCCTCTTCGCTGCAGCCATGTGCTCTGGTCTGTGTCTCCCAGGAGCAACATAGCGTGCAAGAATGCTCAGAGGGTATGCAAGGTCAGGTCGTGTGCAGGTCATCAAGTACATGAGGCAGCCAACAAGCTCTGCATACGGACCACTCGACTCTACGGACTCATCCGAAGGCAGAGGTGAGAGTGAGTGGCGAGTACGCAGAGGAGTGGCCTGAGGCGAGGAGTACGTGAAGCCGAAGCGCTGAAGGACCTGCTGCACCATGTGTGACTGAGTCAAGGTAATGGTGCGGCGTGCTCTGTCCCGAGTGATCTGCAAGCCAAGGTAGCTGCGCAGTTCACCCAGGTCTGTGCACGTGTGTCTCTTCAGCAGCTCGGACTTCACGTAGGCGAGTCCAGCAGTGTCCGCTGTGGCAAAGACCAAGTCGTCGACGTACACGAGGATGTAGAGCGGCGGCAGGGAAGTGTCGGTGCGAAGAAACAGCGACGGGTCAGCAGTAGAAGGAGCAAACCCAAGAGCCGCAAGCGTAGTCCTCAGTGTGTCGTGCCACTCACGCGGTGCCTGGCGGAGACCATAGACTGGCCGTCGGAGGCTCCACTGGGTGCCAGGGGGGAAAGTCCCAGTGAAGCCAGGTGGACGGCGAAGCCAGATCTCCTCGTGCAGGCTACCCTGCAAGAACGCAGTGCTGAAGTCGAGAGAGTGAAGCTCGTAGTCGCGCTGAGCGGCTATGTGCAGCAGCACCCGAAGAGTAGTCATCTTCGGGGTGGGAGAGAAGGTCTGAAAGTAATCAACTCCCTGCCGCTCACTGAAGCCACGAGCAACGTACCGTGCCTTGAAGACAGGTGGAGAGCCCGGCGGCCGCTTCACCCTGAAGATCCACATGCCACTGACGATGTTCGCCCCAGGAGGGGGAACCGCGTCAACGTAGGTGCCTGTGGACTTTCAGGAAGCCATCTCTGCATCCATAGCTGCCTGCCACTGAGAGGAGTAGGGACCCTCTACGGCCTCCGCGTAAGAACGCGGAGTCGGGATGTCTAGTGCATCCGGGTCTCCCTCAGGGGCAAGCAGTACGGACGCGAGATGAGGTGAAGCAGCCGCTAGACACTGTAACTCCTCCTGCCTGTCCTGTAGGACGTCCGTGCCAAGAGCACACTCACCCCCGACGGACGGAGGACAGACAGACGCAGACTCAGCAACAAGACTAGCAGCGTAGTCGAGACGACAGCGAGCAGCAAAGTCGACGAGCTCAGCGACTAGAGCAGACGCAGCAGTGGACTCAAAAGAGGGGTCAGTAACGACAGTAGCAAGCAGGCGGGTGACAGTAGGACTGGCAGCACGAAGAGTGTCCGACTCAGGGTCGGGAAGCGCAGGAAGAGAGGACTCAGGAGGAGAAGGCAAAGGGGCACGCAGAGGAGCAGTGGACGGACGCAAAGACATCCGGTGCGTGCCAGGGACAGGAGAAGGACGCTGACGCGAACTGCGACCACTAGCGCGAGCAGCACGAACAGGCGACGCGGGACGAGACGCAGGCTCACGATGCTCAGCAAGACCTCCAGTAGGACCAGTGTAAGGAGAGGGAGCAGGCAGTGGAGAGGAAGGCTCCAGCAGGGACTACGACTGGACAGGCGATGGACCCTCTACTGGAGGAGAAAGACCAAGAACCTGCTGCAGGAGCGGAACGAAGTACGGCCGAGGCCGCGCGGCAGCTCCAGACTCAGCAGGGACAGCACCAACACCCTCAGCGACAGCACCAGCGCCACCCACACCTCCAGCGGCAGGACCAACAGTAGTAGGCTCAGCACCAACGCCCTCAGCAGCTCCAGCTCCAGGAGGACCCGCAGGTCCAGCAGCTCCGGGACCGGCAGCACCCGCACCCTCGACGGTCGAAGAAGCTCCAGCTCCACCTCCAGCAGCACCTCCAAACTCAGCAGCAAGCCTCCCGCGGCGAGCGAACCACTCGCGCAGCTCCTGTGGAGAGAGGGGCTCCCGGCGAGACGCAGCAGCAGGAGAAACCCCAGGCTCAGCAGCTCTAGACGCAGCACCCCCAGGCTCAGTAGCTCCCAGCTTAGCACCCCCAGGCTCAGCAGCTCCTGACCCAGCACCCCCAGACCCAGCACCTCCAGGCACAGCACCCCCCGGCTCAGCGACCCCAGGCTCCGCACCCTCCGCAGTAGCACCCCCAGGTCCAGCACCCCCAGCAGTAGCACCCCCAGGCTCAGCACCCCCGCGCACAGCACCCCCAGAGTCAGCACCCCCAGGCTCAGCACCCGCAGCAGCACCAGAGTCACCAGTAACCTCGACCGGGTCAACGGCCTCTACCTGGGACACACCTGAGGGGGCAGGAACCTGAGGGGGGAGGGGGTCTACCGGGGGGGGAACCGGCACAAGGAAGTCCGGGGGAGGGGGGAGGGAAGGAGTGCGGTAGGGGAAGAGACGGTAGAAGGGGACTGACTCGTCGAACGTGACGTCCTGGGAGGACAGAACACCACGAGGGGACAGCTTGTCCGCAGACAAGTCGCGAACAAACGCCCGAGATCCCCAGACACGGAACACAGACGCATCGCCAACCTTCCCCGTCCACAGCAAGGCTGGGGACATCGCAGGCCGAGAGACCCGGGGGTGAAGGTTGAGCTGATGCGCCGCGTACCTCACCGCAAACGGCCACAGAAAATGGGGGGCAGCCGCATGCATCATGGACGTACGAGCGACATCCATGACCATGCCAATGCGGCGCTCAGCAATCCCATTTTGCTGTGGTGAGTCCGGAAGCGTGAAGGTCTTGCGGATCCCCCGTGCACGACAGTAGTCTCGCAGAAGGCGAGAAGAGAACTCTCCGCCTCTGTCCGAGTGCAGACGCAGAACAGGAAAGTCCGAGCCGAAGCTCTTCCTGAGCTCGAGACGAGCCTCGCGGATCCAGTCGATCAGCACCTCAGTGACCGCACCCTTGCTGCGCAAGGGGAGGACTGTGGTGTAACGCGAGTAGTCGTCAACCACCAACAGGAAGTAGCGCTCGTGACCCTGCCCACGGACGGGGGCTGGGCCCCACACATCCATGTGAAGCGTCTGCAGGGGAGCCTCTATCGGGGGGAAGTGGGAGGAGTGAGGAGTAGCCCGGAGGCGACCCTCGACACAGGGGACACAGGAAGGTCCTGGCCCGGAGGGGAGAGGAGGGAGAGACTGGGGAAGACGAGAGACAAGGACACGGGAAGCCATGCTCCGAAGACGGGGCAAGGAGGGGTGGCCAAGACGGTGGTGCCACAGGAGAGTCTCGTGAGACAGGAGGCGACAAGAACAGGGGGCAGACTCAGGACCTGACCGGGACGCAGCAGCAAGCACCTGACCTGACGCAGCTACCTGACCGGACGCAGGGACAGGAGGAGACGAAGTGGTCAAGGTGTAGAGACTCGACCCCGGCCAACGCGAGAAGGTGGCCAGGTGTCGGCCTGTGCGTGCGTCCGTGCAGTGGGTCACCCGCTGACTCGCAGGAGTGAACTGGTGAACCCCTGCATCCTGCAGGGCTGCACCACTCACCAAGTTCGTAGAGAACGAGGGAAGGTACAGACCAGACAGGGTGCCCGAAGGGGCAGCCGGACACGGGAGGACAGTGGAGAAGTGAGACAGGACAGGACCCCCAGAGGGGTCAGCAAGGGAGACTGCAACCGGCCGGCCGAGCGGCGTAAGGGTAGTGCGGTCTCGAAAGAAGGAGCGAGAAGCCCCGGAGTCAAGTGTGAAAGTGAGGGAGGACGAGGACGACGCAGTACCTGAGAGCGCAGTCTCACCAGTACCTGAGAGCGCAGACGCACTGGCACCTAGAGCAGCAGCCTCACAAGCACCTAGCGCAGCAGTACCAATGCCCGGGTCGGGCTGGAAACACCGGTAACCCTCATTCTCCTCACTATAAGTCACAGCATACATAGCAGCAAGG